CTGCGGAGCTGCGGTGGGCGGCGCGGGCCTGGTCACGTGGGCGCCCGCCCGGCGCCGCTCCCGGGAGGGTGCGTTCTGGGCGCTCTCCAGGTGGACGTCTCCTTCGCGGCGGGCTTTCTTCGTCTCCAAAATCTCTCGCCTGTCGGCGGGGCTCCACGCCCTCCCAGGCAACCTCCTGCCTTATTTTTAGCTTATTTGTGCACTTGCCATGGCACGGAGGGCTTCAGCCTTTGCAGTTGGGAAGTAAACGAGAGTAAGTAAGCTCGTGTGGCCGAGTTAGAGGCCGGTTCTGTTCTGTCCTGCACCGGACTCGTCACCTGTCAGCGCCGTGCCCTTTCTGTGCTTTGAGTGTTCTCCTCGGGAGCCCTGAAATCATTTGCAGTGTTTTGTTTCTGGTTCATTCTACTTCATTTTGGCTGAACTTTGAGAACTTCCCTGCTTAGTTTTGTATCTTGGGGATTCTGTCTCAACTCAAAATGGTGTGAAAAGCAGTTATACTTGAAAGACTGTGGGCAAAATCCTGAGGTACTCTTTTTTTTTTTTTGGTCTTTGAAAGCGATGTGTGTGTGTGTTTTGACTTCATATTTTGGGAAATTTGAGACAGAAGTAGGTGGGATAGTGAACCAGCCATCGTCCATCCCCAGCAACGCACCTATGGCTAACCCTGCCCCATTCGCCTTCCCATGCATTTCTTCTCCCGTGGGAGGAATTAATCCCAAGGAGAAATTAATTAATTAATTGTAATGCTGGGGCTTTCCATTGAGCTACATCTCCAGCTCTTTATTTTTTTTGTTTTGAGACAAAGTCTCAGCAAGTTGCCCAGTCTGGGCTGTAAATCTGTGATCCTCCTCCCAGAGTGTTGGGATTACAGTCATGTGCCACCGCACCTGGCTAAATTCTTTTATTTATTTTTTGATACCAGGGCTTGAACTCCGGGCTTTCCATAAGCACATGCTCTACATACCTTCAACCCTAAGGAGAGGTTCTTGATGAAAGATGAGCCCATATTTCTCAAGAATAGCTTCAGATTTAAAATAAAAATCCTAGTGTATGTTATGAAAGCCTCTTGTGTTTATAGTTGGGGCTTTTGGGAGATGATTGGTTCATGGGGACTTGATACTCCTCGGTGGGTAGTCCACCAATGAGTTTATAGCAAAATGTGATTTGGGAGGTGAAGCCTCTTTGGAGCTGTGTCATGGAAGTGTGGTGTATCTTTCTGTACCCCTTGATCACTCTGTGCTTCTCCCTGCCTTGCCACGATCTCTCTCCTCTGCTCGGCTGCCCTGCCTTGCAGTCAGCCAGCGGTGGACTGAAACCTCTAGGAACGGTGAGCCAAATAAACCTTTCCTTTTTAGAGCTGCGGGTGTCCGGTATGTCTCAAGGAAGAGAAAGTAACTAAGATAGTGTCATACACGGTTATACTGTACTTTTGTTGAAACAATCTAATACTAATAGTCTTTCAACTCAGAAGTGTATGAGTTGGAGAAAGAAGAGGATATCTAATGACCAAGCTACTGGAAAACAGGTTAAAACCAAAAGTGTTTCTGATTTCAATGAGAATTTCCAGATCATCTTAGCCAGCTTCTTTTTCTATGAGCCTTCAAAGTCCACAAAAATTCAGTTACTTTGAAGAGGCTGCACTGAGGCTGGAAGCAACATCTCCCAAGTCCGTATCCAGTTGTCTTTCTGCTCTACCATAATGCTCGTTCGTCTTTAGTTTGTTCCTTTCTGCAAAGAACTGAGAAGGCTGTGACTGAAAACCCTAACACTGATGAAGGCCATGGATGGTAAGCGTGAACTTTGCCACCAAATATCAGAATAGTGAAAGTGGAGAGTATGCCTCAAGTTATTTAAGATAAAACTTTGAAAATGATACTTTCTAATTATAGTTGTTAGGAGACAAGAATCCCTTGACCTCAGAAATACTAGATTGAGAATAAGAACAAGGTGTAAACGATTTAGATAACATTCACAGCTGTTTAATACAGTAGTTACTCAGAGGGGATGGCTGGGAATGTAGTGCAGCTCAGTGGTAGAGTGCTTCTCTGTTATTCAGAAGGCCCTTGGTTTGAATATCCGCACCACAAAAAACAAAACAGACAAACAAAACAAAGTTAATGAAGGAAATTAGAATGATTTGGAGGGCACCCTTGCTGTTCCTTTTTTTCTCTCTCTTTTACTCTTGGTACCGAGAGAACAATAGTATTCTTTTTTCAGTAGCTTTTTTTTCCCCAATCAGGTTTTTGTTTTTGTTTTTCTCCGGTACCGGGAACCGAACTCACGACCTTGCGCTTGCCAGGCAGGCGCTTTTGCCGCTGAGCTAAATCCCCAGCCCCTCCCCAATCAGATTTTATTGGTACATTTTAGATATACATAGTGATCACATTCATCATAGAGAATTTTTGCCTGTACATGATGTAACTCCCCCCTAGTCCCCTGTTCTCCTTTCAAGCCCTCTTCCCTTCCTCATTTACAAAAGCTTTGTGATATTCTTCTATAAATCCTTTTATTCCATGCACACATAAAAATCTGGACTAGATGCTTCATCAGTTAGGCTTTTTATAAAACCATGATATTAATTTCTTAGCAAACTCTATGTTGTTAAGTTCTTTCTCCCAAGAGAAGTAAACTCACAACAGCAGGAATACATCATTAGGAGACTAGGATGCAGGAATACATACATCATTAAGAGCATTGGAGTGTAGGAATACATCTAAGAACTACATCATTAGGAGACTTGTTGGAACCTCCTAGAGCATACCTGCACAAAACTAAAATGGCTCCATGTTGCTGGGCAGTAGTCTGACTAGATCATGGTCCTATAGGTGATCTTTCACTGACTGAAATAATCACTGTGCAGTATACACTGTAGTTTTGCTTATTTCCCTCTCTCCCCAAGGTGCTAGTGATGGAACCCAGAGACTCACAGCTTCTAGGCAAGGACTCTATAGTTAAGCTACACCCCCACCCTTCTTACTCTTAATAGGGTGATAGTAACCTTCTCCAAGGAGTGCTACAAACAAATCTTTGTATGTAGAATTCTGTGAGTTTACACATAAGATCATATTATTCATATGTTGTGAAATAATTGTAACTTAATGCAGTAATTGTTGTTCCCATGCAGCTGAACATTTAGCAATGGAATAACCACATTGCATTGTCATGATAAATCATTACCCCTGTGTGTGGTGTCCAGGAAAAGCCTGTGGCGAGCCTATCAGGAATCTAACCTAACTTCCTAAGTGCTTTCTACTAAAGAAACCACTTTCTCATCTGTGTGCATATCATGAAAAGTTAATCTTTTGTAAAGAAAATGTCTTGCTTTATGGAGAATATTTGAGCCTGGTTAAGCATTGAGTAAGTAGCTACAAAGTTACTTCTTCAAGTAAAGTAGAGTAGAGCTTCATTATGACGTGCATTCACCTCTGTATTATGCTCACAGGGAGACTTCACCTGAATATCATCCACTCCATGTATTCTAAGCTACATAATAGTGCTTCTGTAGTGTGATTAATATTTCTTGAGAGAATGGAGTTGGAGAGTTAGAAGGAAAGTTTTAAGTACTTGGAGTTTTCCCTAATTCCTGTAAGGTGCTTTCTCTCCTTTAAACCACATAACTGGTACACATGCCACAGCACTTGCTGGTTTGTCGCCTTTCTTAGGTACTCCAGTAATTGTATGTATGTATTGCACCTCCTTCCAAACATGAGATTTGTAGTACTAGAAATGTCTTTTATCATGAGAAATTTAACACCTACAATAAGACTCTTTTTCTTTTTTTTTTTTTTTTTTAATTTAAAAGAGCAAAAGAAGGACAGCATAGCAGTAGGGGGATTCACCGAATTACAGACCTTTCTTATGTTTTTTAAATTTGATGGTAGGTATGAAACCATGGACCTTCAGCTTGCGAAGCACACACACTACCACCGAGCTACAGCCTTAACCTTTCAAAAACAAAACAAAGCAAAACAAAATTGGTGAGGAAACTTAAATCCAGGGAAGCCCAATTAATTATACTAGGTCTTATAAACCAGAGAGTAACAGCTGTATCTAGAACTGGTAAATGTCAGAGCCACAATCGCCCCATCAAACCTAACAAGGAGCTGGGAGACCATAAGGAAGGGACCATCATGCATGAAAACCTGTGATAACTGTTAGAGACTCTGAAAACCATACCCTTGCACAAAGAGTACTAATGTGAGCATGTCTACCAAGCAACTATGTATTCAGCTTCAGGCTCACACTACCCTAGTTACTGATTCTGGTAGCCAAGGATTATATTTTATACCAATTTATGTAATCTTCCTCATTTTACCTTTCAAAACTCTTACCTGTGATCTCTCATAGCATGCATATTCCAGATTGTACTGTACTGCTCATTCTTGAATAAATTCATTAAACTTTTAGAAACCCCACTATCTTTTGTTACCTAAGTTGACAAACTTTTTTTTTTTAATTTTTATTTTTTATTTTATTTTATTTTATTTTTTTTATTTTAAAGATAAAAGGAGGGAAACATTAACAGATATACAACATTTTACAACATATCACAAGCACAATACAGACAATACAGAGTTACAAACAAAGTGGTAGGGAATTAACAATGGTGGTTGTATTACATATTGATATCTTCAAAGTGGCTTCTCATGAAAACAGATATAGACATGCAATACTGGTCAACCAAAGACTCATTGACAGTTTCTTTCAGCATAGAAATAGAAGACAGAAGAACAACCATGTTAACTATCCTGTATATACATACATACAAAATTTCTCCTTCTTTCCATTCTCTTTTCCCACATCCCAGAAGCCCTTTACTCTTCAGTGGTTTCCTATCATTTCACAGTGTCTATCATACCTCCGAGTTTAAATTAACTCTTTCAAGTTTTACACTAGTGAAACAATGCGGTGCTTGCACATGTATTAAGTTGACAAACTTAAGAAGACTTCTAGTTCTAGTTCTAAGCCCTTTCTGGATACCATTTTCTTCACATCTGTGAGGAATAGGAAGAGATAAAAAAGTTTTTATTTACTAGTTGGAAATGAATTATATAATCACCTTTAAATTTTTTTGATCAGTACTGTACTAGAAATACAAACATGTAATTTTAAATTTTGTAGTAGCTGCTTTAAAAAAAATGACATATTAATTAGCTTGGTTTAATCATCCCACAATGTGTATGTGTATCAAAACATCACATCTGAACCCCATAGATACAGTTTGTTAAGTCAGCATCTAAAAACTTGTGTGTG